TTCACAATTCAAAAAGAATTGACAGTTTTTAAAAATTAATGACGGATTTCAAAATATCCATTTTGTAAATTGTTTCTGAATACTTTGCCAGCAGTAACTCATTGTTAATAGTTTATACTTGACTAAAATTCCATGGAAAACCAACTAGTAGCCTGTAGGATAGAACAAGTGAATTCTTCAAGTGGAGCAACCATAGATATTAGGACTGACAAAATAAATAAATGATAAAAATAAACCTGTGCACTGATATGACCATAAATGATCAGGGAAAGAAGAAACAGAAACTCATATACACCATTATTGCAATTGGCATGAGGTGGTATCACATTGTGGTTTTGATTTGCATTTCCTTGATAGTGGTGTTGAACATGTTTATGTGTTTGTTGGCAATTTGCATATCTTCTTTTGAAAACTGTCTATTCATGCCCTTTGCCCACTCTTTGATGTGATTATTTGTTTATTTCTTGATGATTTGTTTGAATTCCTTGTTGATTCTGGATACTGGTCTCTTGTCAGATGCATAGCTTGTGAATATTTTCTCCCACTCTGTGGGTTGTCAGTTTACTCTGCTGATTTTCTTTCTTTTTTCTTTCCTTTTCTTTTCTTTTTTTTTTTTTTTTTTTGCTGTGGAGAAGTTTATTAGCTGAATTCAGATTCGTCTATTTATTATTATTTTTGTTGCATTTGCTTTGGTTTGTTGATCATGAACTCTTTGCCTAAGCCAACATCTAGAAGAGCTTTTTTTTTTTTTTGATGGTATATTCTAGAGTTTTTATGGTTTTGGGTCTTAGATTTATGTCTTTGATCCATCTTGAGTTGATTTTTGTATAAGGTGAGAGATAAGGGTACACTTTCATTCTTCTACATGTAGCTTGCCAATGATCCTAACACCATTTGCTGCACAGGGTGTCTTACCTCACTTTGTTTTTGTTTGCTTTGTCAAAATCAGTTGGCTATAAGTATTTGGTTTTATTTCGGGGTTCTCTTTTTCCACTGGTCTTCCTTTCTGTTTTTATGTGAGTACCATGCTGTTCTGGTAACTATAGCCTTGTAGTATACTTTGAAGTTGGGTATTTTGATGCCTCCAGATTTGCTCTTTTTCCTTAGTCTTGCTTTGGCTATGTGGGTTCTCTTTTGTTCCATGTGAATATTAGGATTGGTTTTTCTAGTTCTGTGAAGAATGGTGATGGTATTTTGATGGGAATTGCATTGAATTTATAGATTGCTTTTGGTAAATGGCCATTTTCACAATATTATTTCTACCCATGCATGAGAATGGGATGTTTCCATTTTATTGTGTAATCTATGATTTTTTCAACAGTGTCCTGTAGTTTTTCTTACAGACATATTTTACCTACTTAAGTGTCTATTTTATTTTTTCATGTCATTTAAAAGTTTGAATTTTTTTATTTGATTCTCACTTGATCAGTAGAACTGGATAGCAGTTCTACTGGTTTGTGTGCATTGATTTTGTATCCTAAAACTTTACAGAATTCATTTATCAGATCTAGGAGCTTTTTGGATGAGTCTTTGGGGTTTTCTAGGTATACAACCATATCATCAGTGAATAGCAACAGTTTGACTTCTTCCTCTTTACCAATTTGGATGCCCTTTATTTCTTTCTCTTGTCTGACTGTTCTGGCTAGGATAGACAGCTGTTTTTAATTTTAAAATACATGTGTCCCTAACTCATTTTCTCCCTCAGTTCCAGTGTCTCGCCCCATCCTCACCCTCAGGATTCCCAGGGCCCAGGCTGTGGTGGGGGACCTGCTGGAGCTTCGCTGTGAGGCCCTGAGAGGCTCTCCCCCGATCCTGTACCAGTTTTATCATGACGATGTCACCCTGGGGAGCAACTCAGCCCCCTCTGGAGGAGAAGCCTCTTTCAATCTCTCTCTGACTGCAGAACATTCTGGAAACTACTCCTGTGAGGCCAACAATGGCCTGATGGCCCAGCACAGTGACAGAGTATCCCTCAGTGTTATAGGTAAGTTGACCCAATCAGCAGCACAAAAAGAAACAGACCATCTCCCCCAAATTTCCCAATAACCAAGATCAGAGCTATGGTTTCCAGAGCCATTTGCTGTGTGAGATCCTGTTAGGCCTGGCACCTACACAGCCTCCATCCCTGAGTTTTGTATCCTACACATTCAAGAACTTGCACCTTCCCTTCTCTTACTGTGCTTTTCCTGCTAGCAGCAGTCCAGCCACCGTGACCAAAATTCCCCTAACATAGGAGTAAAGGCTTTCAAAATACAAACTATATTCTTGCCAACAGTGATAGTAAGAAAGAAAGTTATAAAGTTCCATGTGCTTCATCTTAGAAGAGATTTAGTTGTGGTTTTCTGTCTGCCAATCAATAAAAAAACCAACACAATTATCTTATTGGCTCACACATTTTTCTCTAGCCTCTCCGGCCCCTGTCCCAGAGTGGTTTGGGTTCCCACCCAAGACCCTTGTAGAAGACATCTTACTCCTTCCTCATTACCTTTTCCTGTTCCATTCAACAACATCATGATCTTCTATGCATCATTGTCATGGGCTGACTCCTAGTCACGCCCACTCTCAGTGAAGGCTTTGGCACTGCAGTTTGCATCCTCCCTACCCCACAATCTGTCATCATTTCATGACTCTCATGGCCACATGTATGACTCCCTGAACACCGTGGTCTGTCCTCTCCACACCAGTCAGCCACTCCCACATACATATACTACTTCATCTCCAAAATGACAATTTTTAAGCCCTTATTATCTGACAACAACCCTCAATCCTTCTATTTGCATCAACCTCTCCTGTCACTATTGTTCTCAGACCTGAACAGAATTCCCAGGTCATTAATACCTCTACTCCTTCCCTACTTCATCAGACAATAACTCCCCCCACTGCCACCAACAAATTGAGTGTCTAGCTCTGTATCCACCCAGTAACTCATCTCTCCTTTTCCTAAATTATAGAGGACTCACCTTCCTACAGGTGAACATCGCCATCTGGACTCCAGATTTCATCATTTTGTGCATTCTCAGAAGCTATACAACCTATTATCCCTCTCTCCTCTATGGCCCCTGACATCTCCCTCTCTGTAGGATCCTTCCCACTGGCATTTCATGTCCTGTATCTCTCCCATATCCAAGGAAAACCCTCTCTTGATCCCACTTATACCTCCATACACTACTGCTTCATGGCTAAACTTCCAAAAATAGCTGCCCAGGTTGTTCCCATGTCCCCATTATCCACTAGGCTCTAATCCACTAGGTTTTTCCAACCTCTCCACCAAAATGTTTCTCACCAAGGTCATCGATGACCTCCAAGGCTTTAAATCCAATGGCCATTTTTCAATCCTCACCTTCCTCGACATCTCAGATATATTCCATGTTGTTTACCTTTCTTCCTTCTTGAAGCCCTCCCTTCAGGGAATCCATCTTCTTCTGTTTCTCTTCTTTCCCTGGCCACTTCTTCTCAGTCTTCTTCATTGGCTTCTCCTTTTGCAGAAAACCTTTAAGCATTGGCATGTCCCAGAACTTTGACTTATGCCCTCTTCTCTTATCTAAATCCTTTGTCTGGATGATTCTGGGGATGGCATCTATAAATCATTATTTCAAAACTTCTATCTCTAAAGGGGACCTTCCACTCGAGCATCTGCACATGACATATCTTTACTCAAATATCTCAAAAGCTCATCAATCTGATGACATTCCCCTCCTCTTTCAAAGGTTCCTGCCTCTGTGAAACACATCTCTCCTCATCAGATACACAAAGCAGAAACAGGCATCTTCCTCAGCATTTCTCTTCCTCACCGCTGATAGCCAGTTAATCATTAAGTCCTGCTGATTTGACTTCCTAAATAGTTCTCAAATCTTTATCTCTACCACCTCTATCTAGACAAGTCCACCATCATTTGACTACTGCAATGCTACTCATGTGCTCTACCCCTCAATTCCACTTCCATTCCACCACAGTCCATTTTGTGCACAATGGTCAAAAGAGTCTTTTTAAAGCAACAAATTTGATCATCTCACACCCCTGCATAGATGGACTTACAGGCTTCCCATTGCTCTAAGAAGGATCAAAATTCTTAGCATGGCTTGTGAAGTCCAGCCTAGATTTCCAGCCTCCTATTTCATGGTAGTTTGCAGACTCTTCTCAGTGTGATGCTACCTTATTTCAATAATTCAGATGTGCCAGTCTTATTCCCAACTCAGGGCCTTTGCACATACAGTTTGCCTGCCCAGTGCACTCTATACCTCCCTTTTCAACTGCCTAATTTCAATGCTAATTTCAAAGGTCATTTTGTGAGGAAGCTTTCCTTGACAACGCATACATTTCATAGTACCCTGTCCTTTATCAATTATCAGTTTTAATTCTATACTTACTGCCTTTTTATTGAATTGCTGCCTCTCATCCTTCTATATTGTAGGCTCTATGAGAGCAGGAACTGTCTTTCCCACCATTGATTCCCTAGGACATCATACCATGCTTGGGACTTAGGAAATGCTCAATTTTTATTTTTGCTCAATTTTATAAAAATTTTTGTTCAATTAATTTTTGATGGGTGAATGAATATAAAAATGAGCAAATAACATAACGATACTCTTTCTCTTGTGGGCCCCATTTCTGATGCAGCCCAGATGCAATTACATCCCTGGTGATAGAAGCCGCGAGTCTCTCTTGTCCTTCCTTTTCTGTTGGACTGATTCCTCCTTTCTCCAACTCTCTTTTGACTTCTAAGATACCTGTCAGTTTAATCCTTGTTTTCACAGTCCTCAAACACATCTGAGTTTGTGTACTTCAGTATTCCAAACTGTGTATAGCGCTACACAAATGTTATTCTTTCTGGAGATCTGAAAATATTGCTGAGTTTTAAGTAACATCCCAAGGGCATTAAAAACTGAGAAAAACATTGTCCCATTTCAAATGTCTTTAGCATGAAGGAATATGTTTCAGCAGAAGCAGCTGATGGTTACTGTTTTTCCTCCCTCAGTTCCAGTGTCTCGCCCCATCCTCACCATCAGGACTCCCAGGGCCCAGGCTGTGGTGGGGGACCTGCTGGAGCTTCATTGTGAGGCCCTGAGAGGCTCCTCCCCGATCCTGTACCTATTTTATCATGAGGATGTCACCCTGGGAAAGATCTCGGCCCTCTCTGGAGGAGGAGCCTCCTTCAATCTCTCTCTGACTACAGAACATTCTGGAATCTACTCCTGTGAGGCAGACAATGGTCTGGAGGCACAGCGCAGTGAGATGGTGACACTGAAAGTTGCAGGTGAGTGGGCCAAGCCCACCAGCCACACAGCCCAGAACCGTGCCTGCTCTCCTGCAGCTGACAGTGGAGCCACAGAGCTCCTCAGGGCTGTTGGCTTGTATGGCATCCCAGCACACTTTCTGCCTGCAGAACCTCCCTGTGAATGTCTGGGATCCTCTGTGGCATGGTTCCAGGAATCTGAAGTTTCCCTGAAGTCTTCTTGAATGTGATTAAAGCCCCTCACTAAAAATGCAAATAAGACTTTTTAGAACATAAACTATATTCTGAACTGAAATTATTATATGAAAGTGAAACCAAAGAATTATAAATATAGGTTTCTCTGCCCTAGAAAATATTAGGCTGTTTCTTGTCCAGATTCTTCTCTCACTGACTTCCAACAAGCCTCTATTCTTGAGTTTCTTGCATTACTGGGGATGTAAATGGTCCTTACATTTCCATATTAAAAATCCTATGTTAACATAAGCTATGTGCACAGCTCTTCAGGAGACACACTCAGTGATCTTTAAAGCAAGGGACACAGGTGACCAGGGCAGAAAACGGGGAGCAGGATGACATGGAATGGAAACGGCCACCTATCAACCAAACTCCTCCATTCTCAGAGCTGTTCTTTGATCCCATGCAATTAAGTGTAATAACCCAAGGAAAGCTGCTTCTAGTTAGCTTTGAATATTTTGGTGATTACCTCCTACAAGCCAAGCTTCGAAACCCCTGTTTAGAGAGACCTGGGGTTTAGCAAAAGTATGCTAAGGGGTGTTGAGATGAATGTTCTAGACTTGGCTCTGAAGATAACTAGCTTTGTGACATTGGCCAAATGCCTTTCCCATATTGGCCTCAGTTTCCACACCCGTAAAGTGGGAAAATCAGACTAGATGAAAATCCTATCATCCCCTATCCTAGAATTCTATGATTTTGGCAGACAGCGAATATGGATTATGCAGACTTACAGGTTCCTAGAGGAGATGTGCAAAAGTAAAAGTGGGTTGTCCCTGCTTTTGGAATATATCCGGGAGAAACAGGAGACCATACAATGGTATGCAATCACCATTCTAGTCATGTAAAGCAAAACATACATTGATGCTTTTATTCCCCTTGGCAAGATGCCTGGGTATCACAGGAATAGAGACAGAGCCACATAGGCAGGTTGATCTGGGCATGCTAACCTAGGATCCAGCATCTCACAAGGTAGCCAGTGCAGCCATCTCATTGGCATCCAAGAGATGATGACTTCAGATTTTCCTATTCTGTAAGTGCCAAGACCAGCTTGGTCATGAAGACCCCAACCCAGGTTGAGCTGAAGGAATTAAAAAACAGACACAGAGATAGAGAGCAAAAGGTGGGATGACAGGGGGCCACAGCATTCCCAGTTGAGAGCTTCAAATAGAGTTTGACCCATACATTTATTGACAGCAAGCAAGTGATAATCATCATTTACCTAAAAGCATTCTTCTCAAGGAACAAAGCATTCTTTACTAGTGGCAAGAAACAGGCTCTAGTGTGTTTATCTACTGCAGCTAGAACACGTGGTTAAGGCATGGGTCACTCATTCTATTGTTTGTGATTCAGAAGTCCCCAAGCAAGAGTGGGTTAGGTCTTTCTTTCCCTTGCTCCCTTGCTCCAGTAAACCAACAACCTCTAGCAATGTGTGTCACTGCCATCACGAGGATGTCACAGTGCTGTAGATATCCTGTTTATGGCCAGTATCTTTAAGGCCTGTTTATGCCAGGCTTAGGGCCTGCTCCCAACTTGCTCCCAACGGGTAAGCTCATTCTTCCCCCACCAGAAGCACCAACCTCAACCAATTTTCCTGAGATTTTCAGGGACTCTTGCCACACAGTTCATCCACCTGTTCCTTAGAGCCAGTACCCAGGCATGTTCCACTGACCGAGGGCTACTCTGTCTCTCCTTGTAACATAGCAAGCCAACACATCAACCTCCCACATTCTGTACTTTTGATTTCATGATTTTCTGCTCATCCTCACTCCCTTGTTTCTATAACTCCCTGTCACAAATGCATGTTATTTCTGCTGCTACTGTTATCACAGGCAAAGGGCTTCCCGTGTAGTCCGAATGAATTGTGTCTGAGTTCTGGAACTAGGACACAGGTCGTAGGGACCAGAAACTGCCAGAAAAGGAGATATTATTTCTTCTTGTCATCATGACCCATGTCATCATCATCAACCCTCACTGAGCCTTCATCAGGCTCCAGACTCTGTGGTTAGTGCTTAATATCCAATATCTCATTTAATCATTACAATAAACCTGTGAGGATAAATTTTAAGCCATTTTATCTCCTATTTTCAGAAAAGAAACTGAGATTTAGAGCAGTGAAGTAACTAGCTTGCAGACACACAGCTAGCAAGGGTAAAGCCAGGTTGAAGCATGGTCCTCTCTAATTCTTAACATTAGTCCGAGACATGATGACATTTCCTCATCCACTGTGGCAACGTTTTAACACAACCTTTTAGTTTTTAGCAATTTGTTATTCTGAAAAAACACATGAATCTTCACGATGAAAAAGATCAAATAATACAAAAGGGCCAATACTGAAAAGTAAAAGTCTCTTTCTACCTGCTCACAATCAATTCATAGGCACATACTCTCTAGACATAACCATTGTTAACTGTTTCATGTGCATGCTTCTAGGAATACTGTATCAACCTCAAGGCATTTAATTTTTAGAAAGCTAGAATAATATTATACCTATAGTTACGCCAGTTGCATTTTTTTAACTGAAATATATATCTCGACTTTTAAGAAACACATCTTGGATAGCATTTGTATTTCATTACCCAATCCAGTAGGTTGCCTCTAATTTTCAGCTCTTATTAAAATGCTACAATAGAAATTCTTGTACAAACATATTGGCATATTTTATGCTGGTATCCCTTAGAGGAGATGGCTCTAGAAGAAGGACTTGAACTCCTGGGCTCAAGTGATCCTTCTGCCTCAGACTCCCAAATCGTTGGGATTAGAGGTTTAGGCCACTGCACCTGGCCCGCTACAAGCAGATTTGTTGGGTCAGAGTTAATGGGCACTTGAAATTTTGTAGCTATTGACAAATTGTCATTCAAGGAAGTTTGTTAAATTTGTGTTACCACCTAGGGCAAATGTACATGCCTGTTTATCCACAAGCTCATCAGAATGATCCGTCTATGTAAGCTTTGCCAACCCAAAAAATAGAGAAAAGAATAGTATTGTGTGGTTGTCTTTAGTTGTGTTTCGTTAATTAGTAATGAAGATGATAATCTTTTTATATATTTATTGTCTATTTGAAGCTTTCAGTGATTTATATACTTTTTACGGTTTTCTTTTGGATGTTTTTGTACACCGAAAACTATTCACGGGTCAAACTACTTAGCTTTATCATCTGTATTTTAATCTACTTTCCAAGACTGAGATACGACTTCTTACATTTGTTAATACCTTTTGTTTCTTACAAATATGTTAGAAGCAGAAAGTGCTATTGACTTTTTGTTCTCCCTCAGTTCTGGTGTCTCGCCCAGTCCTCACCCTCAGGGCTCCCAGGGCCCAGGCTGTGGTGGGGGACCTGCTGGAGCTTCACTGTGAGGCCCTGAGAGGCTCTCCCCCGATCCTGTACTGGTTTTATTATGAAGATGTCACCCTGGGGAATAGCACGGCTCCCTCTGGAGGAGGAGCCTCCTTCAACCTCTCTCTGACTGCAGAACACTCTGGAAACTACTCCTGTGAGGCCGACAATGGCCTGGGGGCCCAGCGCAGTGAGGTGGTGACATTTTATATCACAGGTAAGTTTCCCATGCCTGGGCCACAGATGGAGACAAAATGTTTCCCCCAAGGACCCTCTGATAACCCTCAAGGTGCTTGACCAGATGGCACTCCTCAGGGACAAGTAACACAGCTGGCAGCTCTCTAAACTGCTATTTGGTGAAGTGCTTCTGGAATGATGACGCGGGGGCTTGGAGCACAGGGTGGCAGAGGGGCAAAGAGCACCACTGACTTTAGAGCTCCTTACCTGGCTGCCTCTTCTCTAACCAGTCACCACCCACCCTGACCCTCGACCCTTGCCTCAGGCGCAGAGACAACTTCCTCACAAAGACGGGAGCCATCTTCTGTGCCACATCAGCCCCTGCTTAGCTGCTGGGACCCTGCTCACCTAGGTTAACCCTCAGGCCCAGGCAGCAGCTACTGGGGGTGGGCAGTTCGAGACCACAGCCTCTCCTCTGGCTCATGTGTGGGGTCTCCCCCTCAGGGTTAACTGGAAACAGAAGTGGCTCTGTTGTCACAGGCATCACCGGGGGCCTGCTCAGCATGGCAGGCCTTGCTGCTGGGGTACTGCTGCTCTACTGCTGGCTCTCGAGAAAAGCAGGTGGGTGACTCTGGGTACACCTTGGCTTGAGTTCATGCCCTTCCCAGCAATGCTCCCTTAGGCCTCATACTGCCTTCATGGCCATCCCCAGGCTCACAAGTGTTCCTCCGTTCTGTCCCTCAATCCTCTGCCTTTCCACGGGGTTCTCCAGAATTGCTTTTTACCAAATACACAAGTTTCCAAAACAGACCTATAAGGTGGAAAACGTCTTGAGGAGATGTAGTTTATCTAACATCATAAACTGCAGAGTATCTTCCTCTGGACGCTTACAAGACCCCCAAGGCATGGGAAGGGGAGGAGAAAAACTCTGAGAAATAGAAAATAGAAACCAGAGAGGATCCAGTAATTTTCTGATATTTTAAATGTACACTCTTTTTACAGCTGATCGGTCTGCCTTCTTGCCTGTGGCTACCAATCATTATGTTTAACACCACCAGGTTAAAAGATAACAGACTGTGGACTCGCATTTCACATCATAACATACCGCTCTGGCAGGGTCAGCCTCCCTGGGGCATAACAAAGAAGGATTCAACCTTCAGTGACAGCAACTCCTGGCAGTTTCTAAGTGAGCCTTCTCTGATCTGTGCCCCTCTGAGGGTCTCCTCTTCCTGAATCCAATACTCCTCTGCTTTCCTTTACAGGGAGAAAGCCTGCCTCTGACCCCGGCAGGTAAGACCTGAGCTGCATTCCTGTGTGATTAATGAAATGTCCACAGAGTGGAAAAATTGAATTGAATCTGGTGACTACCAAGAGAGCACAGTTTCTGCCAGGTGCTGCTGAGATGGGCTGTGCCCACTTCCTGTTGTACCTCCCTGGGGATATCTCGAGGCAATTCCCAACACCTTTGCACCCACCTCCTTAACTGTATAGGCTATTTTCTCATCAAGTGTTAATTGCTTTTGCATTTATTAACCCACATCCCTGGACCATTCTTGGCTTGGTTGTCTGAGTGACCACTATGACCACCAAGTCGTTCCATATCTTGAGATGACTTTAGATCAGTCAACCTGGAAATCTCCAGAGATGCTGATCTCATCAGCACCTCTTGTGATAACAACTGAGAAGATGGAGCCACACGATTTGACCACCCAGAGAGGTCAATCTGCCAGAAGGACATAGTCCCTATGAAGAAGGGGTCACTGTCTTGTATCCCAAAGGTTGACACAAAGGCTCGCCGCTATACCTGGGCAAGCCCACGATAGCAACATGCAAACCATGCAGAGCGCCTCAGAGCCTTCTGATCACTGAGCATGCAGGCTTTGAAGCCAGCTTTGAGCCTTGGCTCATCCCCTTTCTGGTTACATGATATTCATAAGTCACTTCTTGGAGCCTCTGTTTGCTACAAAATGAGGATGAAACAGAACTAACATCATGTTGTTATAAGCATCAGCACAATGCCTGTTACATACTAGATGAACAGAAAGCCTGGAAACGCAGCTATTATGGTCATGATTCATAATAAAACGCCCACAGGCCGCTTGTTGTGTGCTCATCCAGGTTTCCAGGCTTGGCAGCCCCGTTGCAGTAAGAAATCACTTACTAGGAGTAATCATTAGAGCTACTTTGTCAGGATTCCTAAGAAACATCCACGTTTTTCTGTCTCACAGGAGCCCTTCAGACTCCCAACAGCCCACCTACTACAATGTACCAGCCTGGGTAGAGCTGCAACCAGTGTACAGCAATGGTGAGGCCCAAGGACCCTGCAGTTGGCAGAAGCCAGGGGGCTGGTATGGGAAAGGCGGGGTGGGGCAGGAGATGGGGAGGGACTGTGCCGAGGCCTGCAGGGCTCTAGTCATTCCAGAGAAGAGACTCTTGCTGGGGGAGGAGGAAGTATCTCTAAGGAGAGGCAAGAACCTCAGCATCCTCTGAAACTTCAATTTCTTTCTAAGTAAATCCCAGAAGAGAAGATGTGGTTTACTCAGAAGTACGGAGCATCCAAAAGAAAAAGAAACATGCCGGTAAGACCCAAGGAAGTCTTTGCTCTGGCCAGCCCTCAACTTAGATAGTGTAGCTCAATTTCCACCCCCTCAGCAGCTCTGAGCCAGCCAGGCATAGAGCCGCCCCTCCCACTGGGTCATGGGGCTTCTTAATTTGCGCCTAAGCCTCTTCAGGCGAATCCAAGCCTCCCCTGCACTCTCCTTTCTCCATTCTCTGTAGAGGGCCTCAGTATAACGTGAGTAACAAAAGCATCCTTTGGGGCATTCCCTTAATCTCTCAGAGCTTCAGTATCTCTATCCATAAACTGTGACTACTTCCCTACCGCCTTAGTCAGCTCTGGCTCCTCTAACAGAGTACCATAGACTAGGTGACTTAAAGAACAAACATCTATTTCTCACAGTTCTGGAGGCTGGAAGTCCAAGATGAAGGTGCCAGTATGGTCAGGTTCTTAGTGAGGGCCCTATTCCCAGTTTCCAGACAGGTGACTCCTTGCTGTATCCCCCATACAGCAGAGAGAGAGGGAGAGATCACCACTCGTATCTCATCATGTAATTGTAATTGATCATGTAATTGTAACTGATCATGTAATTGATCATGATGTAATTGTCACCCTAGGCTCACTTCCAAATGCCATCACATTGGGGATTAGCTCTTTAACCCATGAATTTGGAGAGCAACACAAATATTTAGTCCACAGCACTTACCTACCTGTACTAGTTTCTGATTGCTGCTGTGTCAAATTACCATAAATTTGGTGGATGAAGCAATACAAATGTATCATCTTACAGCTCTGTGGGTCAGAAGTCTGACATATGTCTCACGGGGTGTTGGCAGGGCTGTGTTCCTCCCCGGAGGCTCCAGGGGTGAAAGTGTTCTTGCCTTTTCAGCTTCTAGATCTCACCCACTTTCCTGGGCTGGAGCCCCTTCCTCTCTCCCCAAAGCCAGCCAAGTAGCCAAGTCACATTTCCCTAACCATTCTTCCATAGACAGGTCTCCCTCTGACCTCAACTGAGAAAAGCGCTTGGGTTTTCTCAATGTGAGTATATTAGGCCCACCTGGATAACCCAGACTAATCTCCCTATCTCAGGGTCTGTAATCCTCATCATGTCTGAAAGGTCCTCTTTTCCATTTTTAGGGTAATAGATTCACAGATTCCAGTGATTAGGGTGTGACATCTTTGGGGGCACATTATTACAGCTACCACGCTGTTTCCTAGGGTTACCGTGAGGACTATGAGAAAATAGGTGTGGAAATGCTGCTGAAACTGCAGGGGTGGGGCAGCTGTGATGGTAACTACACGCTGGAGGTCTGGCTGTGTCATCAGCCCTCACTCACAGTCAGTGGTTTGAAATGAGGGAATCCCAGCCTGGCTGCCTCCTTACTAGGAGCAGGAAAGAGAAGCAAAGTTTTCTGGGGCAGGCTTTTCTTTCTACCTCTGCTTCATTAAAAGTGCTGCGTGGTTTTAGCCAGTGACCTTCCCTCTCTGGTTTTCCAATTTTTCTTATATAAAGTCAAGTGAATTGTGTTTGTGCCTCATTCTCGGTTCCAAAGCACCCCTCTGAGACATGTCAACTCATTCACTCTCACAAGCCCCTTTGAGGTATATGCTGTTACTACTCCCCTTTTACAGATGAGGAAACCAAGGAATAGATACCTTAAACGACTTGCCTGAAATCATATAGACAATCACCAAGCAGTCTGTCTCCAGAGTCCAAACTCCGGACCAAACTCTGCTTTTCTCAGTGCAATTCCAGGGAGTCCTGATGCTCATTCCAAGCCATTCCAAGGCTCATTCCCCAAAAGGGGAGAGCCGTGTCTGGAGAATGTCATACTTTCCTCCAGTTGGATGATAATATAACAGTAATAATTTCTAATATCTATCATGTGTTGAATAGTTCTTATTATGTGCCAGGTACAGTTCTATAAGTGCAATAAGTACATACACTATATTTGTATGGATAGCTCTTAGAACTGTACCTGTAGCACATATATAGAACTATGGCACACATACATATAATAATAGAGAAATAGTGAATATAGCAATCCGGACTGTACCTGACACATAAAAATTGCTCAACACATGATAGATAGAAATAGTATATGCACAGACACACAGACACATGAGCATACGCTTAGGTGTAAACTCATATAGCTTCGCCAAAACCATACAGGCAGGTAATATTTTTATTCCCATCATAGAGATGAGGCAACCGAGGCAGGAAATGTTGAGTGACGTCCCCCAGCTGCAGAGGTGGCAAGGCAGGCTGCGGGCTGCAAGCTCAGTCTCGGGCGGTCTAGAGCCACATGGAGGGTGCTAAAACTCGCACCTGCCACGCCACCTCTCCAGAACACACAATACCAATTACGCTCAAAGAACTAACAAGATAAAAGACAAACGTCTTTCTCTGGAGAGCCCCTAAGCAGCTCCAAGTGGGCCATGAAGTGTGAAGGGGTGTTGAAGAGAGGGACTTAGGAGTGGCAGGGGACAGGGTGGGCACCAACGGAGAGCAGCGATAGACTCACCGCGCGGAGGGAGAGCGGGTCTCCAGAAGCCTCAGGGCTGGCCTGACGGCGCGGACGCAACGGGAGAGCTCCACGCCAATCTTCCACAGCTGAACACTTTCCTCTTTCCACAGCGGCCTCTGACCCCAGACATCTCAGGACCACGGTGAGTCTCCCCCTCTGCCCGGCCTCCCCCACCCCCAGGCCCGCCCTGGTCCTCACGCGGGTGCTCTTGTCTCCTAGGGTTCCCTTGTCATTTACTCTGAAGTGAAGGTGGCGTCAACTCCGGCCGCCAGGTCCCCGCTCTGCGCTTCCTCAGCTCCTCACAGATGAGCCCACATGTCTCCCCAGCTGCTGTCTCAGCCTCTACACCCCAAAGTTCTCCTTGTGGGAGAAGCAGCACTGAAGTGGGAAGATTTAGGCTGCCCCAGGCCACATCCACTGGCCTTTGTTTCCACGTGCTCATTCTCAGTCTGACCAGAACGCAGGGCCCTGCCCACTCTCGCCTATTTCCTAGTTACGGCCCTGCCTGGCGGGTTGTTTCATCCAATGGCGAGGCACTCCCATCCCAGGGCTCAGCACGTTTCCCGGCTTCCTTAGCGGGCTTCAGCTGTGGTTGCTAGTCTGAGTACTGCTCCCATCGCACCCCCCCAGAGGGGGCCTTGAGGAGCCGCGGGGCTGGCCTAAACTTCGACACAGAATTCCTGCATTTCTCAATTGTCATCAGGCTGGCGGAGCTACTGCAGTGTGCTGTCAAACAAGACAGCGCACGTCCTGTGCGCACAGGACTTGGAATGGATCTGCCCACAGGGGCTGCATTTTACACTCCTCCACCTGTCTCACGCTGTAAGGTCAGCATTTGACACCAGGGTAACGTCTCTCCTGCTCGTGCCAATATCTACCTGCCCAAGTAAGTGGCTTTCATACACCAGGTCCCAGGTACCTCCCATCCTAACAGAAGCAACCTAGCAAGTCAAGGCCAGGAGGACCGGGGTGCAGATAGAACACATATGTGAACATAGGAGGTGCTCAATGACTGTTTGGCTGAATGAATGAATGAATGAATGAATGAGGAAGGAAACTATTGGAACATAGGAGGTAGTCAATGACTATTTGAATGAATGAGGAAGAAAACTGCGGGTAATCAAAATGGCATAAAATCCAGTGTGCTCTCTAGGAAGTCCAGGATGTATCCTGGCTTCTCTTAGTAAGAAATAATGTAGGGAGGCCGAGGCAGGTGGATCATGAGGTCAAGAGATCGAGACCATCCTGGTCAACATGATGAAACCCCGTCTCTACTAAAAATACAAAAAATTAGCTGGGCATGGTGGTGCGTGCCTGTAGTCCCAGCTACTCAGGAGGCTGAGGCAGGAGAATTGCCTGAACCCATGAGGCGGAGGTTGTGATGAGCTGAGATCGCGCCATTGCACTCCAGCCTGGGTAACAAGAGCGAAACTCCGTCTCAAAAAAAAAGAAAAGAAATAATGTAAGAAAAGGAGTCTGAGTGAGGAAAACTGTTCAGCAAGAGGAAGGGCTTCTCACACTTTCACGTGCTTGTGGATCACCCAAGGATCCTGTGAAAATACAGATACTGATTCAGTGGGTCTGGTGGAGCCTGAGACTGAGTCTAACATGCTCCCAGGGGATGCTGATGCTGCTGATCCGTGGAGAGGCAGCGTGTGCTCTGGCTGCCCAGAGCCTAACTCGATTCACATGGATCATGCTGCTTCCTGGCCAGCCCTCGGCCACAGCACCATCAGCTGCTGTTGCTGAGAGAGCTTCTCTGTGACATGCTGGCTTTCCTCAGCCACCCTGGGAAGGGGAAAGTAGCTGCCACTATCTTTGTTTCCCAACCTCAGGCCTCACAGTTTCCCATGAAAAGAGTAGATGAATACAGCCTAGCCCTCTCAGTTCAGAGTTGTTCTCCCATCTCTGAGCAATGGGATGTTCTGTTACACTTTTATGATGTCCGTCACACCTCATCTTGACCTCTGCCTGAGACGTTGATCACCACCTCTGAGGGTCTGTCCTGCAAACTGGGACTCTGTGACAGATGAATAAAACACTCAAACACAGAGTACAGTGAATGAGTGGGCTAGGGAGGTTGACAGCTGCTCTCAGCGCAATTGCAGCTATGCCACCCCTCACTAGCTGTTCCTCCTCACGTTTATTCAGTATAGATTTAATAACAGGGGTTTTAAGTCATCATAATTGTGGATAATTAATATGCTTAAAAGAGTTGGCTTATGAATGATAAAAGGTTTGGTTCTGGGGCCCAGAGCAAACACCATTAATGGGTAATTTCCCTGGTCAACCTCCTCCCAAGAGGGCCATCCGGCTCAAAGGTTACCTGAGTAAACAAGCTAGATAGAGGAGAGAAAAAGGAATGTGGGGTAAACAGACTTAACTGGGACAGCTTCTGTTATCCCTAAACTTTACCCTGTGACCTAATACTCTAAGGTAAGAACTGGCAACCTTCAGCCTGTTCCATTTTTACAAGTTATCAAAACCTTTTGGCCTACCAAAACGTTTGAGACTATATCTTATTACTTTCCCTAATATTTCCCTTAATATTTTGCCAACCACCCTGAGTGAATCCCTACATTTGCCACCAGTGGATTGTATAGTGATCACTTCTAAGGCCCATGGCCCTGAAATAAAATCCTTCCAAGGGCATGCAGAGCTCCACTCCAGCTGTCACATGGCTTTTCATGCTTCCAGGTGTTAGGGCCTTGCCCAGATAGACAGGCTGGGTCTGCTGTCCCAGTGTTTCAAGGAGGAAACCAGACACCCGAGACAGGAGCTGGTACTGTAGCCCAGTGCAGCCTCACAGAGCACGAGGCCCGAGGCTCTGAGTTGTCCTCACCACAGATGAGCAACTAACATAGAGATGGAGCAAGAAAAACACATTTCCACTGACGCCGCTTTTTTAGGCCTAGTTGAAAGTCAAGCGAGGACAGCAGCAAGCGTAGGTCCTGGGACCACACTGCGTGTGTGTGAGGCCCCGTAGGTCTCGGCAGAGGCCTGTGGAGAGGCAGTGTGTGCTCTGGCTGCCCAGGGCCGAACTCAGTTTGCACAGATCATGCTGCTTCATGGCCAGCCCTTCGGAGCTCGAGACCAGTGTCCTCTCTCGAGGATTAAAGAAAAAAATCTTCTCACAGTCTATGCTGGAGGCCACATCACCAACAAAGTTCACACCCCATGCAGCTCTGAGAAGGCAAAAGCTCCAGGCTCAAAAGAGGAAATTTAAAATTTCTCATTGGGAAAGTAAGGTACCCCCATCGCAGAATGAAAACTGCGCGGTGGCAGAACAAACTCCACCCTAATGTGGGTGGACCCATCCGGTCCGCTGAAGGCCTGAATAAAACAAAAGGGCTGATTCCTCCTCTAGTGAGGGGGAACTCCTCCTGCTTTCAGTTGGGACATAAGTTTTCCTGCTTTCAGATGCAAACTGAAAAACGGCTCTTCTTGGGTCTTGAACTTGCTGGTATTTGGACTGAAAGAAACTACACTATTGGCTGTCCTGGGTCTCCAGCTTGCTGACTGTAGATCATGGGCTGCGTCAGCCTCGACAATCATAAGAGCCAATTTATCCTAATAGATCAGTCTTTCTCTATGTGTGTATGTGTATGTGTGTGTATATGCAGATGAGGTATATATCTGTATGCTTACCTCATGGGTGCATGTGTGTACAAACACAAAGACATATACACACACAAGCACACACATCCTGTTGGTTTTGTTTCCCTAGAGAACCCTGACGACACAATGATTGATGAGGGTGTGAGAACCAAACGGGCCGGCTGAGTGTCTGCCCTCCAGGCTGGACTTGAGACAGCCCACCTGAGGGAAGGCTTCAGTCTTTAGGACAGACACATTTTTCTAGTTTGCAGCCTTGTGCTGGTCCTGAGTGAAGAGGAAGGAGAAAGTGAACAAATTCCCCATGCTCTAGCCTGAAATAGGACAGACCCAGTGAAATGGGTCTATCTAGAATTTAGAATGGGTAATACAACAAAGAGCAAACCTCAGCCTCAAATAGAGTGTGGCCTGGAGTGGACTCGAGTTCTCAAAGGACAAAATCTCGACTGCCAAGCAGTGGTCTCAGGAGGCTTCAAGAGGCAGAATGTCTTCTTCTTTTTTAAATATATATTTTATTGCATTTTAGGTTTTGGGGTACCTGTGAAGGACATGCAAGATTGTTGCATAGGTACACACATGGCAATGTGGTTTGTGGCCTTCCTCCCCATCACCTATATCTGGCATTTCTCCCCACGTTATCCCTCCCCAACTCCCCACTCCCTGCTGTCCCTTCCCTAGTTTCCCCCCACAGAACCCAGTGTGTGATGCTCCCCTCCCTGTGTCCATGTGTTCTCATTGTTCAACACCTGCCTATGAGTGAGAACATGCGGTGTTTGATTTTCTTATGTCAGTTTGCTGAGAATCAGAATGTCTTCTTTGGGGGAAGAGCCCCACATACTAGGAGAGCAGTACAGCTCTTGTGACTGTGGAGGCTGATACAGCCCATGATCTGCAGTCAGCAAGCTGGAGATCCCAGAGAGCCAGTAGTGTAGTTTCTTTCAGTCCAAATGGCAGCAAGCTCAAGACCCAAGAAGAGCTGTTTTTTCAGTTTGAGTCTGAAGGCAGAAAAACTTACGTCCCACCCCAAGGCGAGAAGAGTTCTCCCTTTCTAGAGGAAGAATCAGCCCTTTTGTTTTCTTCAGGCAACAATGGACTGGATGTACCCATCCACATTAGGGAGGGGAATCTGCTCTATTTGGTCTAATTACTCACACGTTCCTCTCATCGAGATAGACCCTCACAAACACTCACAATCACGTTTGCCAAATGTCTGGACACTGTGGCCCAGTCAAGTTGACACATAAACTTCTCCATCACGATCATAAATAAAGGTGGTCTAGGCTCCACACATTTTTTGGGGGGGTTGCTTCTGTGTTGGTTCAGAACTCTGAGCTGTTACTTTCAGGGTCTCCTCAAAGAGAAGAGAGGCCCAGCTTCCCCCAAGTTTGTGGTTAAAATAAAGCTATTCCAGGATTACGCCCACTTCCTCTTTTTGTTTTGTCTTTCGTCACTCCGCAAAGTCCACCTGTCTCTTTGACCTCTAGCTGACCTGTTCCGCAAAGTCCACCTGTCTCTTTGACCTCTAGCTGACCTGTTCCGTGTCTCCCAAGTTCACCTCAACTAGCCAACCTTATTGTCTTTCCCCTCCTCCAGTCTCCCCTGATGAATACTGCCCGCTCAACCGAGAGCTCGCCATAGGAATGACCACCACTTATTAAAGAATGAATGTGTCAGACCTTGTGCTAGGCGTTTTGCATAAATCATCTTATAGGCACAACAGGCCTATGCAATACGTATCTATTACTGTCCCTGTTCCTGGAACCAAGCTGGGTCCGGCTGTGTTATCTCAAGGGCCTATAACGAGAAGCAGATAAACCAGGAAAAAGGGAATGCATTGCTTTAACCGGATATGGTGAGAAGGCCAGAGATCATTCCACCAGACCAACTCAGTGTTATCATTTTCTTAGTGCTTATATAGATTGGGGTCACGTGCCTATGTGCAGTATAGCATTCGCCTAGATCTATTGGTAACTAATTTTGTTTCAACTAGAAGGTCAGAGGCAAAAAAAAAAGCTTGCTAAGTTTGATTAAAAGGACCCCAGTACCTTCAAGGCCTGTCTCCTATGGTATTAGAGTGATATTTCTATCTTCTCTCCTTTACACCTTGGTCTGGAGAACTGCCTTAGCCTCTCCAGTGAATCTATTCAAACAGTTTTCTCTGTTTCCTTGACTCATCTTAGATTTCACTGACCAGAGAGAGGTCCTGGCACTAGGAATGTAAAACTGTTCCTTTTCTTTTCGCTTGCTCCAGGTTAGGGAGAAGCCCATGCAAGGCTCCTACTCACCTTATGTTTCATTTCCAGCTTTGAGGTCTGGGCGCCGATTTCCCTAGGTTTATCTCTTTGCTCATGTTAAGGCAGCATGGTGGAAATGTGTCTGTGTAGCTGGGTGCTACGCGGGCCTGTCTGTGTGACTGTCAGGGAGAACTGGCCTGCCGCATTCCTATTTTACAGATGAGGGGAGTGAGACTTAAAGGAATTAGTTTAGCCTAAGGCCACACAACAGCAAGTCAGAGCTAGAACTGTGCATCCCAGAGTCCAAGCTTAGTTAATTCACCAAATGTCCTCAGTGGGTATCATGGGCCACCGAGTCCTGTTTGGGCAGAGGCATTTGCGAAGCAGGAAAAGAGCACATGAGACTTGGGGCCGGAAGGCCTGCTTCCTGAACAGGCCACTGCCCGTTGCTGTTAAGCTCTCTCAGCTCTGGTTACCTGGTCTGTCAAACTGGGAAAGAAATAACAGCTGCTTGGATTACATCTGGAAGGAGACAAGGTTTGCGTAAACACCACGCAGATGTTCATGGAAGCAGGTGAGGAGGTGCCTGTGTTGTTACAAAGTTTGCATTGCTTTCTGTTTGCCTTCCTTGGCCCCTCTCCTATCATTACAGTGGAGCAGCTGCTGAATTGCAAGAGCAGGAGAAAATGATGGAAAATAATCTGGTATTCTTTTTAATGTGAGGGGAATGGGAGGTGTGGGAATAGACATTCAGCATGTCAGGGATTACATAACTTCATAAAATCTTTCTGATTTCAATGTCCTTCAGTCATTTTCCAGAGAAATAAAAGCAAAGGGGTGATGTCCCCAGAGACACTCTTCCAGGTCGCTTATTGACAAAAGAACATGTTTGCTTACAAGCAGGCTTTGAATAAATATGAACTTCCTGGGTGGGGCCCAGGATATCCTGCAGCTCTACATTTCTGGCATCAGGCAGTTGAAGAGATGAAGGACTCTGATGGAAAGAGATGAAGTGAGAGTGTTCAGGCTGCCGGGTACCTCAGGGCCATCCCTCCATGCCCAGCCTCAGCCTCCCTTCCCGCCTCTCCGCCATGGCTCTCTCCATCTTTTGTGTTTACCCCACACCTCCGAATGCCACGTCCACCTGTGTCTTTAAGTGGAGCGCACCACAGAACAAACCCAGTGGATGGGTCTGGTGCAGAGCCGGCCTTGTGCCTACATTGGTGACTTGGGGAGAGTTGGGAGAAGGAAGGCATGGGAGAGTAAGGCTGAGAGGCAGGTGCCCCTCACTTGCCTTTCTTCCATACGTCCAGGCTGCGCTCTGTCAAAGTCACTGTCACCTGGCCTCACCAAAAATAGAATGAGCTCTGCGTGGGAAGGGAGGGAGGAGGAGGGGGCTCTGGCCATAACCGTGGGGTAACAGGGGTATAGGGAGGGCCAGGGAATGGCTCAGGAGGACCCTCCTCAGCTGACCCAGGGGCTCCAGGCTCCAGGCTTTAGGGTGTGGGAGTGGTCAGGGAGGTGCGAGTTGGCTAATTTTTAAGTCTTACTATTAGAAAAGACTTTGAAGGGCACCCACTTCTTGTACTTTTCTCACGCTTGGGCCCCTCCACAGCATCCCTGCTGAGACATCAGGCAGCCTATGCTGGAATGCCTCCTGGGCCAGTGAGCTCAGCACCTCCCCAGGCCTGAAATCCCTGAAGGTTAGAACTGGAAGGGGCCCTTGAGACTGTCAGGCCCTGTGCATGCTAATGTGTCCTGTCACTCTTCTTGCACTCTGAAAGCGACCTCTCTGTCACTCTTACCCTTAAGAAGAGTGTGCTCCCTGTACTTATCAGCCACAGTGCCTCCTTCAGGTGTCACCGTCAATAGCTAAACTGTGGGGCAAAGCAGCGTGGGAGCTCCTCCACTCTCCTCACCACCATTTGCAAATTCCTTCTCTAAGTATGTGTTCTTATTTAGTGTGAATGCATATTCAGTGCCTACAACTGAGGATTGGTGACAAGTCATCAAGAAAGACCCACCTTGCCACTATGCCCATCCTCAGTTTTGCCCACAACTGAGAATTCACATTCATATGAAACATGTATTCATATTCTGTGCCTATGACTGAGCCAGGTGCTTGCACTTGGAATACATTGGTAAACAAGGCAGATATAAATAATTGGTAAACAAAGCAGATAAAAAAATTGGTATATAGGGCCAGGCACTGTGGCTCACGCCTGAAATTCCAGCACTTTGGGAGGCCGAGGCGGGTGGATCACGAGGTCAAGAGATCGAGACCATCCTGGTCAACATGGTGAAACCCCGTCTCTACTAAAAATACAAAAAATTAGCTGGGCATGGTGGCGCGTGCCTGTAACCCAGCTACTCAGGAGGCTGAGGGGGGAGAATTGCCTGAACCCAGGAGGCGGAGGTTGCAGTGAGCCGAGATGGCGCCATTGCACTCCAGCCTGGGTAACAAGAGTGAAACTCCATCACACACACACAAAAAAAATTGGTATATAAATACTTGGTAAACAAGGCAGTTATAAATAATTTTGCCCTCAAGGAGCTGACATTCCGGCAGAGAAACAGTGAACACTAAACATGATAAATATGTAACTTATGTCATAATTTAGAAGGTGGCATGTGCCATGAAAAAGAGGAAGTAGAGCCAAATAAGTGATTAGGAGGCCCAGGGGACACTGCAGCAATAAAGAGAGTGGTCGGGGAAGTCCTTACAGAGAAGGGGATGTGA